ATGTCGTTGCTCTTGACATCACGAAAGCGTTCGATCAGCTGTGGCACGCTGCCCTCTTAAGCAAACTTCCATCCTATGGCCTCCCGGAAAAGCTTTGCAGATGGGTGGCTGACTTTATCTCTGGCCGCAAGATATCCGTCGTAATTGACGGATTCTCCTCTTCATCCCACAACGTCAACGCGGGTGTTCCCCAGGGATCGGTCTTGGCTCCAACACTGTTTCTCTTACATATCAACGACCTCCTTTCCTGCACGATCAACCCAATCCACAGCTTCGCTGATGACAGCACTCTACATGCAGGAATTCAGAGTGACAAGCCGATCTCTGCCGCTGAGCTGGAAAAAAGAAGACTAGCGACGACTTCTTCTCTGACAAGAGACCTGGAGGCTATCACTGCTTGGGGACGCAACAATCTTGTACAGTTCAATGCTTCCAAAACACAGTACTGTACTTTGACGAACAAAAAGCGTCCTAGCGCTCATACAGTTTCGATGGACGGTCGAGTTCTACCAAAGAGCCATTCATTTCGGCTGGTCGGAGTCCAGATCACCGAGGACCTGATCTGGCACGAACACATCTCTTCAATAGCTACAGCTGCTGGGAAAAAGCTAGGCTATTTGTTTAGAGCTAAGAAGTACTTTTCTCCGCATGACATTCTCACTCTATACAAGGCCCAGATAAGGCCTAGCCTCGAGTATTGCTCACACATTTGGGGTGCTGCCGCCCCGACTACATTGTCCATGCTAGATGCTGTCCAGAGGAGGGCGGTCCGACTGATCGATGACTCTTCTCTAAAAGACAGTCTCGGGACTCTTTCGCACCGGCGGGTCGTCGGCGATCTAGCTCTTTTCTATCGCTACACCAACGGGCTTTGCTCCTCAGAGCTCTCTTCCATGATGCCGCCGCGCGATGTGCCTGCCAGACAGACCCGCCTGACTTCGGCGTCCCATCCTAACCGTGTCAACTTCGTACATCCAGAACTGGCCGATACGACCGCTCCTTTGTCCCGAGGGTGTCTAGATTGTGGAACAATCTACGGGAGGAAGCTTTTCCCAGTTCTACTAACCTTAGGCAGTTCAAAAATCGTATCAACAAAATTTCTGGTCTCTTATCACATGTACTCGTAAGGTAAGAAACTTCAAGGTAAAAACCAGACATGTACTTCTTCCCGCCAAAGGTCCTAACCGTAATCTAAGCCCACAATACATGGTGGATTATCGATGCTTATTGGAATGACAGCTTTTTAGTAACGATAACCAGGATAAGCTTCAGAACTAGTGGGAGCGGCATCCTGGGTCCGAATACTTGAACCAAAATCAGGACCACTTTGGGTGAAGAGATAATACTGATATCTGTTTCCCTGGAACTCTTTCATGTTCAGTCTAACAGATTTTTATGTAGATACAGATTTTTGCAGCTTAGATAAATAATTTGAGCTGCAAGTTCTGTGCACCGTAATTTATGAGGTGGAGTATTCCAATTGGGAAAAGTACATAAGACATAAGAGAAAATTCACAATTTATTTGGGTTTTCTTTATAGCAACAACATAGTCTCACCGTATTCCGACCACAGGTCTGAGTACAAGAATCTGTGAGATACAGTCCCCGAAATGAAAAATGTAGGTAACGATTAAAGAGAAAATATAGAAACGTTGTATGCCTTTAGTAATCCATTATCATTTTAGCACAGAAATATTCAAGTTCGCCGGCTTTTGGTACTCAGAATGTTGATGTATAAGCCTAGCTGTGAAATTGTCACCGAAATTAAGGATGAAAACATCTTTTTCTGGACAACGTTAGTCGGTATGTAGTCTTATCGAGCTTTGGTGCACTAAATGGTGCAACTATATGAATAATTTTAGATGCCACTTTTATGTGCCACATTCTGTGAGGCACGGTCTTCGAATTATGAAATAAAGATGATACTAGGGACAAATATATTTCTTTTGTGATCCTTTATTGCTGCTATACCTGGTCTAACCGACTTTTGCGTATCAGAATGATGTGACTAGACATTTCATTTAATTGTGCGTACTGCATAGCAGGAGCTGTGAGATACTATCTTCAAACCGGAGGAAAACGATGTTAAATTGGTATAAAGAAAACATTTGGCTCATGATATCCAGATTCAGACTCACTGATTTTGACACCGATAACGCTGTCACTGGATGTATGATCTGTTACAGCTTCTTGGTACCATACTCCGTGAGACATAGTCTTCGAACCCAAGAAATGGTAGGACGCTATAGATGATTGCTTCTCTTGGCAACGATAGTCGCACCAGCTTATGATATCCAGTCTGACTGATTGCTTGTATCTTGGGTAATTGCCACTATATGTACGATTTGAACGCCGATGCCGCTTCAAGGTAGCACAATCTGTGAGATACAGACTTCGAGTTGGGAAGTGTAGATAAGGACAGAAGAGGAAAGGTACGTTTGTTGTAATTTTTTATCGTCGTTATACAAACACGAATGTTTAGGCTTGCCAATTTTGGTAAAGACGTTATATCTGACAGATTTTTAGAAGTTTCACCGACTATAGGATGGACACATGATGCAATTGGAGGTACAATTCAGTACACTGTGAACATTTGTGTGAGAAGCGAACAGACTGTTTGTAGTCAATTTGTTCTTGTGAAACGTGCAAAAATAAAGTTTGAGAGATTTTTATGTCTTTTTGTTCGTGGCCTCTTTCTCTTCTGCGACTGGACCGATTTTCAAAAATCAGCCTTTACGTCCTTGGCGTTGTAGCAACATTGTCTTAAAATTTCATAAAAAACCGAAAGGTACTTCTCAAGTTATAGGTGGTGTAACGGTTTCACCGTCCGATCGTATTTATTAAATCACTTCTCGATTATCATTTCATTAATCCCATCTCTAGCTTTTTTACTTGGAAAATTTTCCGCTTGGACCGCTTGATGCGGAGTTCCTGATCTGCGATCTTCCTCGCGCTTCTTTTTTCACTTGATCCGCCGCCGATCGAACAAGAGCTAAGAATTTTCTTCTCTGTAGCACAAGGTCATATAGCACCATGTGCTAGAATTTTGTAGAATGTGTGTCCGTATAGGACAAAATGATTGGGGCCACACCCTTCCCTTTCTCTTTCTCTTTCTCTTTCCCTTTCCCTTTGCCTTAGTCTTTGACTTTGCGTTGCTTGGCCTATCACTTCACCCATGCATGTGCCTTGGCAGCGCCATCGCCTTTAAGTTCAACTTCGCCTACAACTGGTTATGAAGCCACTATATGTGAGGTCACCCCTCATAACTGGGACCTCCACTTCAAGCACCTGGCCATCCTCGATTCAGTTGAGTCAAAATGGACCAGCGAAAGATAAGTTGATAGTTTTATAGCAGCGCCAAAGATGTAAAACTGTGTGTTCTGTTTGTTCTTCTATCCTCTAGCCATGCCATGGTCGACACACAGCTACACGCCTGCAGATGTTCTCATGCCACCGACTGAGCTACCGGAAGCTAATGCTAACCCCCTTTGTGTGATTGTACAGAAAAGTTGGAATCTTTATTGCACTCCATCTTTTCTGGACTTTTTGCGGAAAGGAAGCGTTACAGTGGTTATAAGATTAGTCGACAGACCGACGGAAATGAACGAAATGGTTTTTCGTGATATACATGTCATACGACTATAATATCCAAAATACAGAATGTCTCATTTTAGGTTAGATTGGATCTTGCATAGCGAACGGCAGATAGTAATTGAAATAAGTGAAAAGTACCGTGTAATTAACCTTTTCGTAGCAAGTACATCTACAGTCTGCATGTTTAATATAGTATAATAGTATAAAATGATATATAGATGAAATATTTGTCGCTGATCCTATTGTGATGGCTTCCTTGGACCTCTGACAACTATAGCATCCGCTTGATTTTTTTTATTTCATATCACATAAAACATCACTATTCTTTTTGTTTCAGACGAGCATCTCAATTGTCAGAGAAACTGGTTAAGGTACACAGGAGAACTAGTTTGTCATGCTAGGCTGTAGGTTTTGAAAATCGATCCAGTGATGGCGGAGCTTTGAACAATGAACGACAATAACAAAAATCGTTTTTTGAGGTTTAAGTGTCTCCTGCTCATTTTCAGAAAAATATTGAGAGCGAGTTATGTTAAGGGGTGAAGCGTATTTTTATCTTTTATTGTAAACCATATTCGTCGTCGTGTACGAATACTTATAATCCGCATGTGGATGTACGAGTATTCAACGCGATCTAAACCTTCGCAACTCCTT